GTCACAGGGATCCTCGGGCTCCTTTAAGAAGCGTACATTTGGGCATGCTGTGTGTGCCATAATGATGCAAATGTGACAGCTGTGAATGTCACATGTTGTCCCGCAGCGCCGTGGGGGGTACACTTCCTGCAGGCAGTTTTTTTTCTTCTGTGGAGTAAAAAAGCTTGAAGACTAGTTATGAATGTGTCTGCATCTGGCAATGAAAATGAATGGTGAGATGACACTCTTAGATTTTCCAGCTTTGTCCATTTTTTAACCCATTTAGGTCTGTTTTGCAAAGAACATAACATATTTTTCTTCTTCTAAATACATATGAAAAAAGAAATGAGTTTAGGATCATTTACATATTACTTACAAAACCCTGAATTTGAATTCTACTAAATTGCATTTAATTCTTATTTACAGTGAATTTAGAGACCAGATGCTAGCATTACTATTAATTCCTTCTTCTCTCTTTTGATATTTTTCTTTCACTATTGGTATTTTCTTTATTCTGGTCAGATTTGAATATATACTGCCTGAAGAGACACCCCAATCAGGGCTACTACCTTTGGGAAATTTGAAAATATTGTTAATCTAACCGTACATTTTAGTATGTTCTTTTACATCCCAAATGTTTATTCATCTTATATATGATACTAAACCAGTGCATTGCCCTGACAAAGTGGAGACAGCCTTAGATATATATTATAAGTAATATGAACGTCCAGCTCCTACATGCTTAAACTGGAGATATGGGTAGATATAATCGTGTACCTCTGCTTTTCATTTAGAGCAGAGGTATGTAGAATTGTATGAAGCTCCCCATAAAGCTCTAAGGCAGAGTATGCAGTTTGCTGCAGGCTGTAAATTCAGTTTACCGATTTCAGATTATGCAGCTTGAAGAGGGTGTTAAGCGTCTTCCTGCCACAGCAGTCACTGATTACCACATATTGTATTCGTCATGCTGAAAGGAACAATATTACACCTCTGGAGAAAGGCCCGAAGGTTTTAGTGCTTTTGAAAGATTCAATACTACTCCACATTATATTCTGTGATCCCTTTTAAGCCACAGTAAAACATGTCTTTACTCTTCGACCGCATTACCTTTTCATGCTTGTTGTGAACATCATTACTGATACTTACATGGCAATATATTGATATCAATCCCTCTTCCCATGTCAGTGTGTGCAAAAAAAGAGACAGTATCCTTAAAGATGTGTAAAAACCCAGGCGACTTTCTCTCTAAGGAAAGAAAACTGAGCAGCAAGGCTCCAGTTAGAGTTGCATCAGAGTCTTTGGTGCTGTTCAGGCAGCGACACTGCAGCTTTAAAAACTGTAAATTCTCGTGCATCAATAGGGAACCTTGCTCTAAACCACTTGTAAAGAACTGCACCTGTTGGCCATCCTTTCAACCCTTTACAGGGCCAACCTACAGAGATGTGAGAGCTCCACCTAGTGATATAATTATAAAAGTACGCACAGGAACATTTCAAAACAGTGCCATCGTGTAATATGATGTCAGTGAAAACAAGAGACTTGGATTCTGTCAAGAGTTCCTAAAATATCAATGTGTGACTCTATGTTATGAGATAAAGTTTGGATTGCGGTAAGAACTTCAAAGCGCAGGGAACCCGGCTGTAATACGTCCACTGGGACACAGAGAGGTGCTGCTGTGACATTTTTTTTTCTTTTCTTTTTTTAATGCACTTCATCCACCACTAAGGGACACACATGCTTTCCAGTTTCTGCTCACATTCCTCCAATGTTACTTTGTTGCCCAGTTCATATCAAGGTTAATCCCAAAGCAGGATATTACCATGAACGAAGGGGGAATTAGTTAAAAATAGCAGGGATTTTTCGCTCTGTTTGAATAGCTTCTATTGTCTGGGAATTTATGTAATTGGCCTTCTCATGTTAAACATCTTGGTTGTCATATTCAGCACCAGCATCTAGCAGGATTCATTTTGCCACAGGGCGTTGAACAATATCTTAGAGCCAGAAAAATAGGGCTCTTCTGACATTTTGCTTATGTATTTCGTGCAACAAAAGTTGTGATACTGGATGTGCGTGAGACAATTCTGGAAAAGCCTTGAGCAACTCGTTTCCACCATAACAATCAGTGGTCTGCGCATTAGAGGGAAACTTTAAATGAGAAAGTCAGATTTCACGTGCTGTTATGACGTGGGGCAAAGTGAGCAAGGCAGCAGATGTCTGGCCCCTTTGCCCAGATCAACTGCAGTAAAGCTCAGGGCCTTAAGGAATTTAGAAATCCAGCTTAATGCACACGTCAGTGTAAGCCAATGAAAATCCCCACCATCAACTATTTCCCTGTAATGCAAACAGGCATTGTTTGTTCCTCCTACTCCTGCATCATGCGGACAGAGAGGCTCCACAGTGGAAATCAGTCTGTTAAGGGAAGCACGCCTGCACATTGGCACGGAGTTTCTCACTTCAGCCTGAGTTTCATTCTTCTGTCACGTTTATTATGTGATCATGCGAGCTTCCATGTGAATGCACATGCAAATATCCCGAGAATGACACACTCTTGGAGCTGTGACAAGTAAATAAGCTTGTACAAACACACACATACAAGTATAGTCATTGTTCGGAAGCTGGAAAATTGATGCAGCTGAGGCTGGAATTTATTTCTAAACTTACAATTACATTGTCACAATGTTTTAAAAGAAGGGATAGACTTTAGTTATTTTGTGAAAGATTGGCATTCTAGAGATATGTTATTAACTGACAGATAACAGTGTTTGAATCCATACAAAGAAATGAACAAAAAGACAACATTTGTCATTTCTGAGGTGGCAGCACGCATTTAAAGTCTCTTTGCTGTCTTTAAACTATCACAGTTTCAGGTTCTGCTGTCTATTATTGGCTCAGAGAGTGCCTCGCAGCAGGGGATGCGATCATCTGCCAGCATATTCTGTGTCTCCATGGAAACGCACCGCAGCCGTGGGAGGGGGGAGCGGATCGGAGTCCAGGAGGCGTAGCCGGGCCGAGCCACATGTGGCTCTCTCAGATGAAACAATTGAAGGAAGAGAGTGGGATGCTTTACTGGCCCTCTGTGATCTCGACTGGCTTTTTTTTTTTTTTCGTTCGTCCATCCCAATCACGCACGAATGCACGCACACATACATTAAAACACACACGTACACGCACACACTGTAATGAACCAGACTATCTGTAAGAAAGCCAAGAGGTCTGTGAAAACAAAAACAGGACGTCCAGGATTTATCTGTCCAGGAGGAACCTCTGACCATTTACCAGCTGCTAACAGACACAATGCAGGGGCGGACTGGTTGAGTCACTCTGGGTTTTGCAGTATGTCAGGAATGAGAAAATTGTTGTGCAGTGGTTACAGGCATTAATCTGTCCATGGACAGGGAGATTTATTTCCTTATTGAGGCAACCTGTGAGAAGGTAAAAGTGAAGACAGTCCTAAGCAGAATGGTGCTTTAGGGTGAGAGACAAAACCGTTTGACTTGATTAGATGATTGGATTATCTAGTTAACGCCTCAGCCTAGCTGGATTATAATGGGATGGCAGAGGCTTTGGAGGAATTTGCACAAAAACACAAATGCGTCCTCTGAGTCATGAATATCTCACCAATGTGTCATTTCAGTCCTCTCGGCAGGTGATTTTCTGCCTGGTTATGGACCAGTGGCGAGTTGCCAGACCTTTCCACACCAGCTCAACATTGCTACAGAATCCCAAGAGCCAACAGAGCTAAAAATAACCAGTAATGGTGTGTTTTTTCCCCCCTAAAATGTATTACTGTCCAAGGTACTGGTAGCCTGACTATGAGTCAGACCTGACTTTACATGGGTGATGGGCATTTTCAATAGTTTACACACTACTCGAAAGCAGGCTTGTAATTCATTCATCTTGCAAATAACAGTCTGACAAAAGAGTGATAAACACATGAGTGCACCTCCCGGAAACATCTGCATATTAAGCCATTAAGCCATATCTTGTGACCTTCACCACAGGACAAAACTCTTCTAAATGACCCTGAAATTTTCTGTAAGCAGACCTCGTGCTGATAAATTTCCGACATTTTGTGTCCCTTTTTTCCCCTTTTCAGTTCAAACTGCAACAATGAATCAGTCTATGAACAGTATGCCTATGTACAGTTATTTTTACACTGTTTCCAAAGATGTTCAGATCTTAAAAACAGCACTAGCATGGAATTTTCATGGATTATTGACACCCATAAACTATTATAGTAAAATAGATTGTTAGGTTATCAAGAGCTACTTGTTACTTTGCAGACTAATGCAAAGCTTCTGGGGTCAGGTTGGCTGACAGCCTCATACACTTCCTCTGTATCATCAGAGATTATGCAAATACATTCATTTTGAAGGAAAATGCTCTAGCTTGTCAGTCAGGCAATGTTATCAGCGCTGTATTTGCATAGACTACATGGTGCATGATAAAAATACACAGTTTTTAGTAGTAGTGTGAGTTTAAGTCGCTCTCATATGAGTGAGAGAGCATAAATTTGTCTTGGTGCATGCAGACGTACCACAACTGCAGATTAATGCAGAGGTACTTGGAAATAAATATGTCCTGAACACACTACATCAAAATCTAAAAACACAATTCAGACAAACAAGCAACTGTTCCAAAAAGTTTAAAGACTGTGTCATAAATCAAGCACTACTTTAAAGGAGGATTTCTGACAAGTTGTATATATATAATTTTTCAGAAATTCTTTATAATACACATTAATACGCCGTAATATCAGCAATCTGCTGATTTGCAAATTCTAACTTAGTTTTTTATGGAATATCAGGGAGTAGAGTGTTTTTTAAATTTTATTTGAGATATTCAGAATAATGTCTGTTGTTCATGAATAATCCACACAAACAAAAAAAGTATGTTTCCTTACGTGTGGATGTTATTTTTCTTTTATTATTATTGTTTACTCATGATCTCGTGATTTGGACTGCAGCACATCTGGAGTGGAGCACGCGCGGACACACAGACGGTCACTTGGCACCGTTGTCATGGAGCCCGGCGCGGTGACGTCACTTACGCAAGGTGAGAAGTGCAGCGTGGACGTTGGCGGACAGCATCAGCCTCCTTCATCTTGTCTCATCTCCATCTGGTTGTTTTCACTGCTCACAGTCGGACTCGCTGCTGCTGTACCACATGGGAAAACACTCGTTTCGCGCTCAGTCGAGCCGTCGCACACCGTTGGCGGTGTTTCTCCAGGTAAGTTAACTGTCCTGTTGGAGCCGTTTAGTTAGAAATGCAGCCACTGTTTTTACACCGGCGGCTTTACGGCATCCTCTGTGTACTTGCAAAATTTTACAAAATGGTTATGTCCCGTCAAAAATTAGTTTTGTAACTAAATATGCTGTGTATACCTGTTCCTGTTCTCTGGAAGCGTTTCTGGTTGCTGGGTTGTCAGGGTCTGTTGCTATGGGCGTTTTACGGCTGCACGTGCAGCTTTGCGCAGCTGAGGGAACTCTGATGAACCCCGTTAAAAGCTTGAATTTTCCATGGAAATATAATAAAACCTTTGTTCTGTTTGACGGAGCAGGCAGTGAGTCCATTTTTCCACAGAAGATAAAGCACGAGTCTCCTTATTGACGAACTATGTACGATGTTGGAGAAAAATATCACATTTATATTCATGCTCAAGCAGAGACCTTAACATTGAATTTAAGGAATTATCACACTTATTTTTTGCTGCTTAAATGCAATTATTCACCTCTGCTGATATTTGAAGGGGAAAAAAGGGAAACTACTTGCTTTTTAAGTACATAATTACCTAGTTAGATAGATGGATACGATTACTTTATTCATCCCCGAAGGGAAATAGAGGAAATCCCCCAAGTTTCTTGATATTTAAAAAAATATTATTTCTATTTTGCAACTTTACATAATCAATAGACAGATTATTTGGCCAGGTGTACAGGAGTTGCTGTGTAATTCTGCTTCAGTGGTTGATGTTTGCTCTCATTGTCTAATGTGCATAGATGAAACGGATTACATATTTTGAAGCTTTACCTACAGACTGACCTGTCCTATGGATGATCAGAGACGTATATCATACTCACGCGGTCCAAGGTGGGTTGAAGTTTAAATGGCAAGAGTCAGTGCAAAGCACTGTTGTTGTTGTAATCCTCTTTGGGTCCATATGGCACCAGAGGAGAAGGTTTTCCAGCTGTCATTGCTAGAAGCGTAAGCCCTGCAGGGCTGAGCCTGCTGTGAGGGATTTCACGTGAATACGCTTGTTTGTTTGGGTTGACGTAAAGGCCAATCTGCTTTCAAAAGTGTGGCAGATTCAGAAATGCGTAATCTTGTCAAAGACATGTTGCTAATGAAGATAACAGAAGCTGAATGTTTGATCCCTCTTACTTGTTGATTTTATGCCAGTTGCCAGTGTTGACGGTGGACAGACAGAGTTTACAAAGGTAGCTCAGTGAGAATGATCGGTTCAAGGAAGTTAGTTTGACCCGATCACTAGGACAGATATGGTTACACGACACGGATCATGTTCCAATCATTTATCATTGTTGTTATGAACAAGTTGAGTGTGGGGTTACAGGATCATCATGCTCACCTCCGGGTTTACTGCCATGTGGAATTTAAAGTCACCTTTTGGTGAACAAGTTACCGTGGGAGTCAAGAATGAACGGCATGAAAACGGACATGGTGCATGAGTGACAAGGAAAGAAGGAATTCACAATTAGGTGCCGCGTCATTTAGAATATATGTGCTGTCAGAGATGGTCATTATCTTTCTAAACAAACCAGCTCTGGATATCTGTCATACCAGCCATAGTTTCTGTAAAGATACTGAACACGTGGAAGCTCTTTTACTTATGTTGATCTGTTCAATCTTCTTCTCTTTCTTCTTTACACAAGATGCATTTTTTCCTAAAGATCCTAAATGACTTCATTTAAGAACATTGAATTGAATGACTTTATTTTAACACAAGATTTTGCATAGACTTGGATTCTCTCAGAGCTTAAAAACGGCAACACAGCTTGAGTGCAGCATCATTCTGTTTACTTGAGCAGATAATTAAAGCTTTTCTTGAACTCACTTCCCATCTATGCTTTCAGAACAGGTTCTCCCACAATCACCAGCTGAATGAATGTGCCAATCTTTGTTCATCGTAAACCTTATTGAGAGGAAACGCGCTCATCGCGGTGGCGGCGTGATGCAGGAACTCAAGTCTTGCTCCTCGGTTCTGTATGTAAACTTTTTAAAAATTGCGTGCACAACTGTTTGTTCACTTCATTAAATGTCTGGACGTCGACATTCACCACAGCTTTATCTTCTCTGTGCACTCATCAGCTTTCATATTGTTGTTATGTGTGCGTTTGTGTCTGTCCGTATGTGAAGATCCGCAGGATCTAAAGGGGTTCTATTGGCCTTTGCTCTATGTTTACATTCGCTTTTATTTTAAAAGCATACAACAGATAGCTGTCACTACAAATCTAATATTAAAATACAAAACAAGTTAAAAAAGACTCTTTACTCGCATCCCTAATTTTTCCATGCTACCACTTTCAAATATGCTTTTTTTTAAATCCTTTGAGCTCTTCTTCGTTATCACCTCCTCCACTTTCCTGTTTTTGTGTCCCTTCTTCTCCACTCCACCTCAAAGTTCAGTAATCTGTTGCCAAGAGGTGATTGGGCAGCGAGACAGAGCTGAGCTGACTGTCACATGCCATCTGCAAGGTCACATGAGGATGTGCCCTCACGTTCTACACTCTCCTTTTCCTCTAGACGCCTCTGAGTTAAGGAGGATTGTCAGATAAGACGAGAAAGGGCTTGCCTTGCTAGAAGCAACAGTCAGAGAGGATTTGGGTGAAAGGAGGACAATGTTTTGACATTCAAAAGAAGTCAGAAAAGACCATGGTTTGACCTATAGTTATGGGGGACACGTTATAAGCTAACCCACCCTGTTGCATGGTTCTTTCAACTTGGTAATTGTCTTTCAGAATACAACCACAAGAGCTACGGCTTGAAAATTGGAAGTAACATTTATAAAGAAGCAACTAAGATTTTCGTTTATTTGTTTGGGAATCCTTTTAGAGAGGTTGAAGCCAAGTATGTCTCCACCCAGGAGGCAGGTACCCTGCTGTGTACACCACTGAACCGAATGTGTTTCTAGGACAGGGAGGTACGGCCAAAGGAGGGTAATAGAACTAAGCCTTTGATAAGAATAGGGTGAAAATTAGAACATTGAAAAGAGCTAATGACAAAACCTCAAGAGGATGTGTTCAGTGTAACGTGCTTATTCTATAGTAGTTATTCATGATCAATCCCAATTTTATCGACAATTGAATAAATTATCCAAAACATATAACTGGAAGTGTGGTTTCTCCACTCTCAAACACTTTGAATTGATAATGATGTAATCCTATGATTTAAAAAAAATATATACTATCAAACACTATCAAACATCATACATACATAAGAAGTTCTATATCTTTAAACTACAATCTCTTAAAGAAATATATTTAAAAAACAAGAATCATCTAACAAATAAATGTTAAGATATTATTGTTTATTTAAAGAACATTTTTGTCAGGAAGCTAGCGGACGCAGACTCAGATCTTCTGAGTCTTGCTTTCCTCTCAGATCTTCTGGGAGCTCCTTTTGGGAGCTTGTTTCCCTCCTCTCAAAGAGTGGATTTTAACTTGAATAGTTTCTTTAAATCTGTGGATTGAGGGTTAAACCTTGTCACATTAGAGGTTTTGCCTAAAGCTTGTCAAACTGGGTTTTGTCTTATAGATGAGTCAGTAGACGCAGGTTATATGTCGTGTTTGTACCTGGACTGTTAACCCATTCACTTTAGCCTGTCTTGTGGAAGTCTAGTGCAAAGTTCAGTGAGGTGATCCTGTTTTCATCCCTGCTTTTGGAATTGTTGACTGGCAGCACTGCGCAAAGTGCCTCTTTGTCTCAGGCAGTTATTCATATTCAGCTTTTCTGTAAATGAGTAACAGTAAAGACAATCATGGCTCCCAGACAGCTACGTAGAAAAACGGTGTGGACTAAGGACCACGGCTCGGAATTTCAGACCCCTCTGCTTGTGTCTGAGTGAATCAATAAATGACTAAGTGGACACGGTAACCCCAATTTAAAAGAATATCGAGCTCCCCAGCCAGCAGGCCAGGCGGGCAGCCATGATGTCCCCCTGCCTTATTCGTTCGGCCCACCTTCAGTTCTACTCATCCCAGCCGGCCGTGCGCTATTTTCACCCTGCTGGTCCAAGCCCAGATCAGAAATTCGACCATTGGCCCCTCTCCCTTTCCAGCCCCCTCTGCAGACGTCTTTTCCTGCGAGTCGTGACGTGCCTGCCCGTACAGGCAGACTGTCCTTGTTCCGATGTGTTTGTGCATAGGAGAGATTACAAGGAAACAGCTTGCCAAGGGCAGGCAGCTGCTGTTTCCTGCAGCTCTCAGCAGTTTGGGGGGACAACTGCAGGATGCCATGGGGGAGAAGTGGCTCAGCGGCTCTGCTGCTGCTGCTTTCGGGCAAATCCTTCAGGCGGGCCAAAGCCAGGTAGGATTAGGCTTCACTACAACTGCGGACTTACACTTTGCCGGGGCTTAAGGCTCATGTGTAGATTAACAGTTTCTGATAGACTTAACTAGATCTGGATACAGTTTTGGTTTACTATTTTCATACTTTGTTTCATTCATTCTTTTGAACAGGGTGAGTCACTGCAGGATCACGGCCTCTTAATGTTACAACAGTTTTGCTGTTTGCAGTTTTTTTTTTTTTAAGTTTCCATACTTTTTTCAATGTTTTGGTACTTCCTGGGGCTTACTGTAGAGTAAAACTATCAGTCTCTGTTTGATTAGATAACAATAACGGAGACAAATGCAGAGCCTGAGAAGAAACACTTTCATATAAGCTAACTGTTGCATTTTCTACAAGCTAAGATTTCTGTGGAGTTCACCCGTACCGATCACTGTCCACATGAGCCACGTTTTCTGGGTGATTATTTCAGTCCTTGACAAGAGCTGTTTGTTGGGGCTACCTGTGTTATTTTCCCGTTTCCAAAGCAGACCGGCTCACATGCCTCCATTCTTCTTTTGGAGTGGGGGACTTCCTGTTGATTCTTTGTGCCATTACAAGGTCCATTCAAGTTTAAACAATCCCAAACACCCTGACATTTTCAGTAGTGTTGTTTTCGAAATGAGTGTGGAGTGTGTGCTTTGTTTTTTTGGCCAAGGTTTATATCCTGCCGGCAAGTTGAAGAGTATAATTAGAAAGATTATATATGACGCTTGTTTTCCGCTAGACAAAAGAGGACTTGTGTAAATGGATTTAAGAATATCTTCGTTATTCTTGAAAATGCTTGTAAATCTTCGGGTAATGCTGCTGATGTGTTTTTTGTAACTTATTATTCCCTGGAGCCCTTTTTTTTTTTTTACGATATTTTCAAGACAATCTAAAAACACAAATAAGCATGATAGTTGAGTCGTACTTTGTGATTTAAAAAAAACTGCAGCTTCTGCCCCTTAATTGCTCCTATTTTCAAATTCAGATTTATATCCAGTTACGTATTGCAACAGTCATGATTCCATTTGTCAAAATCAGTGAAACATATTTATTGCTGTTCTCCTCACCTCCGGTGGTGGTAGCTTTTGTCTGTTTACAACTTTTTTGCTTCTGTAGTATAGAAACAGAAATCAGTGACAGGGCAGTGAATAGTGAGGGTTATAGGCTGCTTAAGAATAAAGTTGACAGACCTGTTGCTCTTGTGAAACTTGAGGAACTTTCACCTGCCTTATGTTTATCTCTCTCACCGCCAAATACCTCACCTTTCATATAGCGCTTCTACACATAGCATGGTCATTTGTCATATGTAAACTTGTCATGAAAGTAGGACTGTTGCGACAGGGTTCTACATATAAGGCATGGTTTGATTTAACCCGCCACGTCATGAACTGCCACACAAAAGGTATGCACTATGAAATTCCAGGTGGTGTTAGAGTGTAAACATTAGGACAATACTTTCATCCTTTTATCCGATTGATTAACTTAACCCTAAACGTATACACTAACATTGTTCCAACAAAATAGCCTTAATTAATGAGCTTATAATAGGCCAACGCTGTGTTTGAACTGTACACGTGTGAGGAAATCAAATAGAAAAGGGCTCTATTTTTATGTACATAACACTAAAAGAAGGATCGCCTTTGTCGTACATCCCCCAGCCTATTCAAATTGTGCCCAAAAAAAGTGAGGCAAGCAAAGGATTCCTTGTCTGTGACTGGGGAAGTTGATGGCCATCAGGCATGTGGGCAGGGTGTGTCATCCCACAGTGGGGAGGGAAGCGACAGGTGTGAATGGGGCCGTCACTCCCTCCCACATGCCAGCTCCACTCAGCTCTCAAACATGCCATGCAGCTTGAAGGCTTACAACATCACTTCCCTTTCAGCGCTTAGAAAAACCGTAGCAACGGACAGATTTGGACGCACTCACATGGTTCTCGTCCACCACTGCTGGATAAAGCAAGTTTTTGTGTGGGGCTCTAATTCCTGGCTCACCTCAGCATTGTGGATATGGGAGGCAGGGAGGAGGTGGTGTTCAGCAGGCTCGAGACCAACATGCAGTTTTCGCGCAGCAAATTCAGTCGTCTCAAGCTCCATCCCAAACAAACCCCAACGCTGGGCAAGCGCGTGAAGCCGTTTGCCCACAGGAAAAAACGCAGGTGAGTGCGTAAGTCATGAAGTTAGAAAAAAGATGAAAATATGAGTCCCCTGATGTGGGACATGCCGTTTATTGTGGAGTGGATTTTGTCAGACTGTGACAGTGCTCAGCTCTTTGACTGTGTAACAGTGTGTAAGGTCATTTTAATTAAGTCGTCATTTTGAGTCTCAGGCCAGAGATCTTTAACATAGGTGCTGGGTTGTTTGCTTATGTTGTGGCTTTGGACATCTGTGGTATAAAATATAGTGAATCTGTTGCATTCCCAGTGCCTTTAACTGATCTATCTTATTTACATGATGCTGCTAACTCAGTTATTGTTCACCTTACGTTTTTGTTGAGCTAGGGAAGGTGAGGCAACTCTGTAAAACATTTATCTAAATGGATTCCTATATACAGACTGAGGTTATTGAAACATATCTTGCTTTTAAATCATTTAAAAGTGCAATTTAAAAGGGTAGAGTTAAAGTACTTAACTCGCTTGTAAACAACATTTCTCATTACTAGCTAATGGAAACAGAAATGCTGTCTCTATTTCCGCTTGTCATACTAAACATTCCATACCATTGCAATACCAGTTTATTCTAGTTCAGCACTGAAGGAGGGCCTGCGGTCTATCCCAGCCGCCATTGGCAGGGTACAAGGCGGTTCATCAGTCCATCACAGAGCCATATAACCAAACACATTCACACCCAGGGTAAATTGAGAGTAACCAATCAGCCAACTCTTTCAGAAACTCTTTTTTTATTAAATACATCAACCTTCACAACATTTTACTTGATGTTTGCAGGCTGTATCTTTATGTGACTAAAACCACAGACTTGTTTCATCCAGCCTTTTAGACTGATAAAACAGAGTTTTGATACTTTTTTATGTATAGTGATAAATAAGGATAGGTTACAATCCCCCCCTCGACCCCATTATGAAAAAGCGGAATAGAAAATGTGTGGATGGATGGATGGATGGCTGGATGGATGGATGGCTGGATGGATGGATGGATGGATGGATGGATGGATGGATGGATGGATGGATGGATGGATGGATAGAGGGATGGATAGAGGGATGGATGGATAGGGGTAAATAAAGTAGAGTAACTAAATTACGTTGATCGGTGATTAACTGAAAACTTCATATCAGTTAACCTCCTATAGGTTTTATATGTTACAAATCCAGTCCAATATAACTTTACATTATTTCACTCCTTGCATCTGATATTAAGTAAAATCTTAAAACTCAGTTATTGGGATACGTTGTGCATAACTTTTAGAGTGGGTTGGATCAGAGCTGCAGTATGGTGACATTGGTTCTGCGGTCGTCTGTGTAAGAATGTAATCATACCAGTTTGCAGAAAGCCATCTTTGATTTTACTCACTGGATGTGTTACTTTACTTTTTCACAAATGTAATGTCAAGACTGTTTACTCCTGTGCGTATTTATGGGATAGAAGTTTCTTTTGAATAGTCGTTGACTGACTATCATCAATTATTCATTGATTATTCTGGGTTCAAGTCCCGGAGGGAACCAGGACCTTTCTGTATGGGGTTTGCATGCTGTTTTTTGTGTCTGTGCAAACCCGCTGCGCCTGCCCCAATCTGATCTGGCTTCAAATGTATGAGCAGCATCTCAAAACTCTTCAAGCCAAAACTGAAAGTTTAAAGCTCTTGTTTTGATGCCTCTCTGACAGACATGATTACAGGATAAGCCTTAAAGCATTCCATAGAGATGGAATTGCTTGGTTTGGTATGTTACTTCGACACTCGTTTGTTTTGATTGGACCGCAAACCAGTGGAGGGAATCAGCTGACTACTTCCTGTATGTGCTATCGGGGAGTCACATGTTACTTCTTTAGGGTGTGAATGCCTCTACCAGCTCTGTGCCCCCTTTGTTAGCAGAGAACAGTGCACCCAAGAACAGGTTGATTTTTATTTTATTTTGTTTTTTTGTTCCACCACCAGCGAACTGAAACAGTTTATGATTTTTCTAACTGTATATTTGAGCTGTCATTGTTAGTGGGTTGTGTTCACGGACACACATCAGTGGATGGAGGGTGTGTCCCTGAAGAAGCAGATTCCATATGATTACAGTGACATCTAGTGGACGTGCAGGGTATTGTTCCACCCGCACACATTCTGCAAGAACAATAGAGACCCCCCTTTTGTGTCCACTCTCGCCATCTCTCTCCGCTCCCCGGGCCTTCGTTCCATCCCTCTCCTTTTGTCTCTCCATTTCTCAGCTCTCCCAGCTGATTCACTCTCCTTTCATCACCGCGGCCTTTACCATTTCTCCTTTGTTTGGACGAGTCTCCGCGTTTCATCCCATTTGTTTGCATGCACGCGTGTGATTTCTTTACGTGTGTGTATGTCTGCACCAGAGATCCCAGCCCCACCGAGATGAGCGTGGAGTCCTGGGCCAGCCCGCAGGACCAGGCAGCCGCTGAGCACGCACACAGCCCACACGCAGCCCCCTCCCTGGACCTGGAGCAGCACCCCGACAAGCTGTGCCTGGACTCGTTCTGGAGTGAGGTTGAGAACATCCGACAGGGGAGTGGCGACACAGATCTGGACTGCACCCGGAGAGACTCTAGACAATCAGAAGGTAATTGCTGCTGATCCGCTGCTATTTGATTAAGAATAGACACAAAGAGCAGAGGAAGACTAGCCTAGGTGGGAGCATTACATGGCATTAAGGGGTAGCACAGATGTCCCAGAGAGCCTCCATCATCCTCCATGAAATGATGCATTTACCACGGAGACATATCGGGTTTCCCTCATGCGGCAAAGTAGCACTTATCTCCATGACAACACTGTCAAACACTCTGTGGCGGGAAGCTTTTGCAACCTTAAATGCTGACTTTTAACGAGAGTTATGTTTCACTTGTCATATTTTTTATTTCTAAATGATCATTTTTATTAATCATTGCTAATTAAACCAACTATATGAAGATGAACCTGGTTTTATTTAATTCCTTGTTGATTTTAATATACTAAGTACTGTAATCAGCTTCTAATAGAAATTTCTTTACCCTGTTACTCGTAGTTGACTACAGTGAGAAAAATTAAGTTGTTCCTCTTATGTATGATCACATTTATGTGATTCTCTCTTTACTTATCAGTTACTCTTTATTGTAATGCAGCCGTTTCTTAGCAAAGGATTCACTAACATCTTCATTTTAAAGTTTAGGCGATGAGAAAAGTATTTGAAGTGAAGCCATAGATTGGGAAGTGCAAAGCAATTTTTCTGATGTAGTGCATTAGTATGATAATGTTATGAATGTTGTTGGTGTGAGTTCACATGAGTTTACATGTCTACACCTTCTGTGTCTCAGAGGGAGAACAGGAGGAGCAGTGGCTGGCTGATGCAGGTTTATCCACCCTCATCAGTGAGGACAGCGAGGATGTAGATAAAGCGGTACTGCTGTCCACCCTGACCCGGACGCAGGCCGAGGCCGTGCAGCGTCGACTGGACTCCTACACCTTGTCGCTGCGCAAAAGGAACAAACCGCCACCCCGCGACGTCCGTGACATCTTCAGCTCCCCCATTGCTCAGGTGAGCGTGCTGACACGCGGCTCAGCATTAGCCATCTAAAACAAAGTAAGATATTGGCAGGAAAACAACAGAAATATGTGCTTCACTGTTAAGATATTCAGAAATCAACCTGCCCTGCAATCCAACACAAAATGCTTTTCCCCCAGGTGACTTAGAGTGGGACTTTATGTTGTTGTAGTGTGTTGTCTTGCTCCATGCAGCAGGACTGACCTATAACTACAGAAGTAAATCACATGTAAAGGGCATGCTTTGTCCTCACTGCCTGTCTGTGGCAGGCTCAGACGAGAACACGGCTCCTCTGATCCTTATCAGCGCTTTATCAAAGGAAACACCCTGTGTGGCTGTGTATAGAAGGGGGGGGGGAAGCACATTATTCTCACATCAGTGGAGGAAGTTTTTCAGATTTAATATTCAAAACTGTCCCTCACAGTTAATCATTGTTTATTTCACCAGAACCTGTTGCCTGAACCTCAGAATTGCGAGGGTTTTGCCCACCACAGTATGGCATCCAAAACACCACTTTCAGGTGAGTGCTACATGATATAATCAGATCTAGTCCAAAACAAAGGGAAAGGGGAAAAAAACAAAGGCTTTTATGCTGCTGGAATGGTTGCAGATCTGTCAGTAAAATGACAAAAATCCAAACTTAACGTAAGACCAAACATGTTGTCGTCATTTTCCATTGTCGGATAATTCCTACAAATTACTCTAAGACTCAGCTGTAATTACCAGCCTTGTCTCAGAGAAGTACTTGCAGAAGTCGAGCAGATCTGTAGTGTCCTGAGGAGGAATGAACAGGCACCATCCCTATCATCTTTCCTCTTACTTCTCAGATTAATTACCGTTTATAAACTGTTAGAAACAAGGTGGCCCTGTCTGTTTAGTATAAATGTAATAAGCAAGAAAAACGTTAAGCATACCTCCCTTTACATGTTAGAGTTTTGATATCAACACCGTTCAGCAGGTTAACTAAACAACTCTCTGATTTCAATTGCATTTGCTTGTTTTCACACCAACTTATAAGAAGAACATTCTGGGAGGCGATATAGCGCAAAGTCTCTTTTTCTGAGGACGTTAGGGATCAATCCAGAAACCTTTTAACTGAAATATGATCCTTCTACTTCCTGAATTCTGTTAGGAGACAGATGAACCATTGCTTTGTTTAGTGGTGCTACCACAGCAGTATTTAGGTTTTATTTGTTTTTGCTTTTTGGGTTTTTCTGTGTTAAGATAAGGCTTACAAATAATGAATTTCAATAGGTTGCGGTACATTTCCTCCTTTTCAAGCTGACATGTTGTTTTTCTTTCTCTTTCGCCTTTGTCCTGCCTTCATTCATGTTTTTGTTTTTGATTGATTTTGTGTATTTAGTTTTGACACCAGAGCACCAAAGAGGCGTTCCTAAGGAGGAATTCCTTATCACTGATGTGGCTTACTGCGAACAGGCCGTCATCTTCCTCAAACAAGCCAAACTGCCACAGAGTAACAACCAGTGCAGGAAAGAAGACGGCACCCTTCCTGTAAGCATGCACATTCTTTTTTTAAACTTTCGGAAAAACACGTCAGAAAATAACCCCCAAAAAAATCTGTTTTTCAGTCACTGTTAGAGATCAAGGCATTTTGAGTCATTGAGTTATTTTTATGTGTCTTTCATATAATTACAGCAAAACATACTCAAACATGTTATTATTAGCTTTTTGCAATCACCTGCTTGCTGTGGGTTGGATAAAAACATTAAGAACAGAAGAAATGAATAAACAAAGGGAAAGCTGTTGTGTCATATGGTTCAGCAGATTTATTTTTCTATTTCGGGCCAAACGGATTTTCCCGGACAAAGCAAAGAATTAGGGTTTTGATTAATTGGGCTGTTAAGGATAGCACAAAATCCTCTCTGGCATATTTACATAGTAAATTGCAACCAGTGAAAGTGACTTGCAAATGATTGCACTTTAAATTACATCACAATTTATATTCATCAATCATTCTTCATCTCTTTTTTCTCAGATTTTCATTTTTGAGGTTGTTCTCTGTATCCTAAACTCTATGTTCTAACTTTCAACGGTTCCCTTTCTTCTCCCCTCTCATCCTCAGCGGGTGATCTGCCCCAAATGTCGCCTGGGAGTCACTCGTATTCATGACCTTTCCCACACCGATATGAAGAAAGTGCGTCAGTTGGCTCTCATCGACATGACAGCACTGTGTGACCTCTTAGAGGTGGAGGTGAAAAGGCACAAAACTTCGAAGAGGAAAATCACAGGTATGACAGCATTCTGCTGTAACATGCCCTCATTTCACAGACCTGAAAAAAGGGTTAGTCCAGATTTCCAGTGTCTTCTTTGAAATTTTTTTAACTTACTTAAATCTTGTTATTAGCTTGCAGGGGAAGTTTTAGACAAATTTAAAGCTATGAGCTACATTTATACACCTTTCAAGTAAATAAGAAAGTCACAAAATATATAGTAACACATGGATCGACAAGCCACATAAAAACACAAGATAATGTTTTTTTATGCTGTTTCATGTGAAATGTAAACATTCTTTGTTTTGTCACAGAGAGCTCGCTTTTTGGGGTTCCACTGGCCATGCTGATGGAGAACGATCAGAAGATGAAGCCGAACAGCTCGACTCCGCTCTTACTGCAGGCAGTATGTCTCTTTCAACATGTCACACGAACTTACAAAAACTGTAAACATTTAGTAAATAAACGACATGAGACACTCAGCTGGTGTTGCTTTGTCGACTTTGTTGTGACTCTGGGTGTTATTTTCAGCCTTTTGGCCTGTGTTACATCTTCAGACTGCCTTTAGTATTCAGCTAGAAAACATACAAGAATGCGTCCGACATTAGCCGAGCTTTGACTGCACCCTTTTTTAAAGCAGCAGTTACTGAGCTTTACCAGCAGAGGTGATCAAGTGATTCATATCTGCTGATTCCTAACTCTGCTGACGTCTCTTGCTGCAGCTGTTGTCGTTTCTGGAGAAGAAGGGAGTCGATTCCGAGGGGATCCTGCGGGTTCCAGGTTCTCAGTCCAGAATCAAGGTACCGTTTCTGGACAGACAAACACTTCTCACTTTATTATATCTCAGAATAGTATAATTCTGTGAAAAGCACAAAAAAAAACTTTTATGACTGATTGACATTTAAAATTTGGATGTGAAAAATGTCAGAAATTCTTCAGTTTGCAAGGAAGTCCCATCAGCTTTACAGATTTTAACTACCGGTGACATTTGAAATACTAAAATATTGATAAGGTTCAATGAAACTAAATCAATTGGGCTTTTTCAGATGCTGTATTTAAACTGTATTTAACCCTTTAGTAGAATTTTTTTTAAAAACATTTTAACAAAGGCAGCCACCAGAGGGCAGCAGGTTGTGCTAAAAAAAAGGATTTCTGAGAATAATGGCTCCTTCCTCTGTAGTCAAAACACCTGGGCTTTGTTCTGCAAGCATCTGGAATGAAATTTTTTCAGAGGCATCTTTTGTGGTCACAAAGTGATATTTGAGTCCTTTTTAAAATCAGGACAGACAATTTTATTATGAGGAAAGACTATCTCTCAACAAGTAGAAATATTTTGGAGTAGGCTACTGGGGCTTTGCTCTGAAACTGACTTTGTTTGTTGTCCGCAGCTCCTGCAGCAGAATTTAGAGACCAACTTCTACTCGGGGCAGATCAGCTGGGATGACGTGAGTCCAAACGACGCTGCTGCGCTCCTTAAGAAGTTCATCCGGGAGCTGCCCTCCCCTCTGCTGACCGCCGAGTACCTCAACACCTTCAGCGCTGTGAGAGGTCAGTGGACGCCGCTCAAAAATGACTTCAGTTACCGTTTTCCCCTAATGTTTGTTCCTTATTTGATATTTTTTCTTAATGTGCACAGCTAAACTGTGGAAATAGATAAAAAGGGAATATATAATGGCTCCTCCTCCCCTTCTCTACGCAACAATCTGATGGCCACATTTTCTGACAGCTCATCAGGGTTCAAATCATAATTACCTAAGCCTCTTCGCCATGAAGACAGCTATGCTTAATGCTTATCTCCTCTGCTCGGGCTGAGAAATCTACATTGAGATGAACATGTTGATAGCATTTTAAGAGGCATCCCTGCACCGCCCTCAAATGCACGATGAGGCAGTGGGGCTGAGGGCTGGCTATTTTCACATTGCTATCACGATATTGGGGGGGGGGGAAGTTTCATATTAATATCATCTGACTGATGACTTTCCAATGCATGGTTTGTGAGGAGGATCAGAACAAGTGATAAATGACGCTTAACCACCGAGACATAAGCTAACAAACCTAATGGCCGACTGTCACAGTGCCATTAATCTTTAGATATTCCATTGCCTTTTGTCAAACACAGAGGAAATGAACTACGTGCGTTTTTGTGTGCGTGTGTGTGTGTGTGTGTGTTCGCCTTCTTACTTTGTTGTTTTTTCTCCATCAGACATCACAGATCTGAAGCAGAAACTTCACATGTTAAACCTGCTCATCCTGCTTCTGCCGGAACCCAACAGGAACACACTGAAGGTAAAGACAAAATAACACGTGTGAAATAGACTGCCTTCATCATACTTTCACCTGCTTTTTTTAGCTGGTTAAGACATATATGTTCAAAATAGTTTCTTTTTGTAATACTGTCTAGTGAATATTCCCAAACATACTTGGCACATCACGAAGCTAAGGTGCTTGTACTTGAACACCTCCTTAGAACTTCATAGTTTTATTTTTACTTTGTGCTTTTTGGTGAATTTGCCTTTACATGTACAGACAGAAATTAAATTAAATTAAACATTTTGTTATTAAAGTAATACTAAGAACATTATTTATTAATTTATTTATTAATATTTATTAAGAGAAAACCTCATAGATTTAAACAAAGGTAACTCTGCTGAATCATGTTGTGTGACCCAATAACTCCTTGAAATTCTTTTAGCATGGATAACACCTCAGAAATCACCTCAAAGAGGATTTTTAAAAGCTCTTATAGCCTAAATCTGTTTGATGATCTGCACCAAGCCCCACATGCTCATCTCATCTTGGTCAGAAATGAATACCACTTGTCAAAAGTACTGTTTCATAATGTGTGACTGTATGTTTCTACTCTTAATCCACATTTTAAACCCTCTGCTCTGTTTTATAATGGCTTGCATTAATCGTGACACGCACTCACCAACACAAGTGTGCAGTCAGCTCCACTTATAGCAGCCAGGAGCATCAAACCCACCTGAACTAATTAGTTTGAAACTTACTGTCCATGAACTACTTTTCAGCTGAGGTCTTACATATGATTTAGCCTCGGTGGAAAATCCACTCACTGTATTTTGTGCTTTATTTTAGCAGCTTTTTGTCCATAGACAAACTCTGTTTTTGTCTGTGTATGACATTAACATCGATCATTAAAACATCAGTCTTCAGGTCTTCATCTTTCTCCATCTGTGTTTTCTTCAGGCTCTGCTCGAGTTTCTCAGTAAGGTGGTTTCCAGAGAAAAGAGGAACCGGATGAACCTGTGGGCTGTCGCAACCATCATGGCCCCCAACCTCTTCCTCCATAAGGCCGTCCCCAGCAGACTGACCGACGGGGCAGAGAAAGGGCAGGCGGAGAAGGCGGCTGATGTTATGAGGCTCCTCATCCGCTACCAGGACCTGCTCTGGACGGTAGGGACAGCCACACACCTGAAAAAAGTGTTGCAGTATTGTGTAGTTTGGTAGTTTTTGCAGAGACCTTTGAGTTATTTTATTTTGCCCATAGTCTGATTAGTTTTTGATAAGGAGCAATTTAGCGAACAATGCTAAAAGCTGCAGAAAAAGGCTTTGAAAATTGATGACGAGATTTGTCTTCTTGGTTTTTCAACTGTATCGCTGTGAATGTTTGCTCATTAGGAATTCTGTGTTGATTTACACGTTTCTTCAGGTCCCTAACTTCCTCGTAGGCCAAGTGCGTAGGCTAAATGAAAACAGCAACCGGCGTTACCAGTTTTATGATCGGCGCATTAAGAACTTGCTGAGGAAGATCCACACAGACAGCAGAGAAAAACCCGAGAAAAAACGCTTGGAGGTGAGCAGTTTGAGCAAAGCTATCCTGCCTGTTATCAACAATAACCACAAACAACAAATAGTAAGCTGTTTTTTGAGAGAAATATTTGCACATCATCAGAATTGCAGACAAAGCCCTGTAACCTTTTTGTTAATGTTGTTATTAATGTTCAGGAAGTTATTATGTGATGAAAATCCTCCTTTTATTTATCCGTCCTGCAGCCATGTCGCACAGTGAAGATCCAGGTTGGAGATCTGGTGAGCGGCTCCATGGAGTTTCAGCTCAACATCAACTCACGGACCTCCGACCTGCTCACCCAGTTTCACCGGCAGTTCAACTGCAGCCCCGAAAACGGAAAAGGCAAAATGCGAAGGTATGACGTACCACCCTTCCGTTTGTTTAGAGAAGTACGAATGAATGATGTTCTTATTGTGTAGCGGCCAAGTTATTTTGGCCTCATGTTTGTCACCTGGTCCATCTGTTGATGTAGCAATCAACGGCAGGAGCAGAAATTCTAACACTTGATGTTATCCACCCACAGAAACGGCTCAGTGGCCTACCCAGACTGCGCACTGTACGAAGTAGGAGGAAACATTGGTGAGTTTTCTCAGACGTGCGCTGACATTTGCATGTCCTTCTGCTCACTGAGCTAATGAGAGAAGCAAGGTATTGCGTAATGAAGAGTTTAAGAGCCAAAGAGACAGGAGCATTGCATCTGCAGTTATCAGAGCAGACAAATGCCCATTACACGCATGTCTGTGCACTAACATGAGCACTGACACAGCCAACAGTCCGACAGAAACTTCTATAGTCGGTTCATTGCCTGATGCAAAACATTTAATATTCTCAGATTTTGGGCAAGTTATATATTCTGGAAGGCAAAACTTAAAACGCTAAATTACGAGATGAATATTTCTTTCTTCAGTAAAAACATTTGAGGGGATGATAAATACCAATGTTCAATGAATATTTCTGCTTGTATTTTTCTCTGCAGGCGAACACTGTTTAGATCCTGACACTCATCTGCTGGACCTGTTCAACAGTAACCCTGGAGGAGAATGGGTCATTAAGGTGAAACCCAGTGCAGGAAGAGGGCTGTGACACGCACCCTGTGGGACTATTTACAGACAGATCAAATAACAGATCGAGGAACGTGGATAAAGAGAGAGTCTTACAATTGAGCCTTTTCTTGTCCTGTGCGTCCTCTGAGCAACAAGCTGGAAGGAAACAGATGGTGGAAAAGAAATTGATAAGTGGGGAATCTGCCTGGAGTGGAGCGTACAAACTGCCATCTCCACATTTCATTCTGTTCCTCTCCATCTTCATCTACTCCTCTCCCATTGGGAACATCTTCACTTTCCCCCTTTACTGCAGGGCCGAATCGCCGCAAGCAAAAAGCTGCTTATGTGAATCATTACTTCCGACAGAGAACCTGCTGCATAGACAAGAGAAGAGAGGCAGACTGGACAGTTTGCCTCTCTCCAACCACGAGCTAACAGATGGGGATGCAGAGCACCTCTGGCTATACAGAGCCACCCCATGCCAGCTTCTGCTCCACATACACAGTCAATGTTTTCCCTGTTATAAGTTTAATCTGACATTCAAGAACACAATATTGTGTTTTTATTGGACATATTCTGAACAGAATTGGTATCAACTAACAAACTGAATTGTGTTCAACTATGGACCGAAGAGAGCTGATGAGCAGATACTGGTAATCAGGTAATAAGATGAGAAACCCAAAAAGGAAATTCTGGCCGCAGAGTGAAAGTGCAGTTCATTACTATTAAAGCAATAGTTGAAATGTCTGCATAAATGAGGGCACTCAGTTCTTTTTCTCACCCATTCTTTTGCCTTTGACTTTTCTGCCCTAAAAAGTAATTGGACAGAATATGTACAGAAAACCATGTAACTTATTTTTTAAAACGCACCACTGAAATAGTGGGTAGAGCAGAAGCTAACATGGAAGCCGTCTTCCTAAACATCCTCTTAGGCCTGATCAGTTAGTTAATCAGCCCCATCAATCACTCCCATCTCTAATGCATTGCACTGCAGCTATAAAGGCGATGTAAATAAAGACAGAGGATCTCTGTCGGCTCCTGTCTTCATCCGTGCCATTCAAAGAGGGAAAGAGACCCCAATGATCTGACATGTTTTTATCTGTGAAACCCAGCCATCGCTAGGCTTTGCAAGGACCCTGACCCTTACAGAACACCGCTCAAAGAGCACCCAGACCTTTTTTACTATTGTGTGACGCCAAGGGATTTGGTGTTTCGACCTCAAGGACAGTCATACCTCTAAAGGGAGCTGTTAAGGACACACAGTGAAGCTGGTCTTCAGTTGTCGTTTTTTGAACACACGAACGGAGGAAAAAGTGCTGAAGCGACAGATGGGGCAACACTGGCATTATTATCATAATAACTATTATTATTGTTGATGTTATTTATATGAATGTAAAACTGTTGTTGCTTCTGTAGTTGATGAGTGTTGTGTAGGATAGAATGTGGAGTTGCTGCGTCCAGTCTAACAGTACGCTCTGTGAATTTACCCAACGTCTGCGTGGGAATGTTTGCTTACTCATGGCTTGAAGCTCAGATGTTATTGTTTTTTGTTTTTTTTATTGATCTCCTTACATCTGCTAATCGGACATATTAACTGTGTGTGTATTGCTCACACACACTCTGCAGCAGGAGAGTCGTGGCCGTGCCGCTTCTCCAAGCTATTCCAAACACACACAAGCAGCAAATGAATGTATCTAACACTTGGTGCCGATCGTCAGATGCGAATCATTTGCCTCCTCGCTGCCGGAGCCATCTTGCTGCGCCGCAGCCATTTTGTGGGAAGTGTTTCGCACACTCAACTCGATAGACGGAGTAATGACGGCGGGCCCCGCACCAACACTTATCAACACCCTCTGCTCCATCTCTGTCACCTCCCCATAATGGACCATAATGGCCGTGCGGCGCATCAGAAAACACACAGTGGAATCACATTTCTCCAATAAAGCCGACGGTAATAAATGGTTGTTATAAATCCCGCCGCCCCCCAGACCTGGCGACAGCAGCGCTTCTGTGTGTGCACGCATCTGCGTGATGAGCTTCATTACACATGTCCAGTCGGTCCGTCCCAGTGTCCCGGGCACAGCTCAGCGCCTCGGCACAAAGCAAGCTGATGAGACTCCAGCCTTCTGCCGACAGTCAGGAGAACTAGGTCACCCCCGCGGCCGCTTCCCAGAGGGCGAGCAGCGTGAGTCCAAACACCCCGGGGAGCCGAGCACATGGACAGGAAACGCGGCATGATACGGCCTAATCTACTGGCTCAGTTTGTGTTTGTACATATGTGAACGTGTGTGTGAGAAAGCGGACGTTACCTGCGGGGAGTCTCTCTGAAACAGTGTTATCTTTATAAATGGGAGTGTTGTGATACTGAATGATGGACATTTTACAGAAACTTTTGTTTACTTGCTGTGATCAAAGTGTGGACCTCTTAATGGCGAAGATTTTAAACATCAGACTGAATGTATATTTAAGCCCTTTACACAAGTCGTTGTTTTAATACTTTTTCTGTAGAAAAAGACACTTTTGAAAATGTTTCCTTTTTTGTCAATAAATGTGACGCTAATGTGCAAAAGATGATTTATTTCTTCATTATGAGCTGATGTCTGGGGTGGAGAGATGATATCAACAAAAGCATCATTCATCAAGATGGCTGCATCTGCTCCATTCTGCATCCACAGGAAGCCGAAAACATACACATGTGAAAACGGAGAAGATGCGGGGTGAAGCATTGGTTCATTCTGCCGCAATAATCAATAGAGAAATTAACCTCATAATGGGTGCGGGTGGAGAGGCCGGAGCTGCTCAGGTCCTTGATTAATCATCGCCAGCACTCCTGGAAAAAAGCATTTGCGATTAACTGCTTCATCAACTTTGATTATTCAAGGTCTCAAAGTGTCAAAGACCGGCACCGGAAGACAAAAAGAACAGAAGTGATACAGCATTCATTTATATTCTGTCTGTTTTTTTCTTAGACAGATTTAGCTTTGAGACCCAGATGGCAAATTTTGGGGAAGATAACAGAGAATAAATGGAGAATGAATTAACGCTGAGAGTTTTTCCATCTGTACTCAACCAATCCCTTTTGATGATGTCATGTTGTGGGCATGTAACATTTCTGAGAATCTATCTTTTGTTTTGTTCTTTTTCCAGCCTTATTCGCTCATTACTGGCATCCGAGCTGCACCTCCAGTCGGAGCGGCAGCAGCTAGCCTGCCAGCCGCAGGCCCCGTTGGCCTGCCGCAGATCTAAATTACTGTAATCAGTGGATGAATAGCAATCAGCAGCCTTGTATGAACTGCTGGCAGAATGCCTGACCCTTAGCTCTCTCCACCAATCAGACCACTGCGTTCCATTCACAACTAATCACGACGTGCACTTAGAGCTCAATACTTCCCTCACATTTGAGGGAGGAAGCAGTCTTTTCTTCCTTTTGTCTGTTTTTGTCAGGCTGACCACATTGATGAGGGATGAGGAAAAGCTCTTTCCTGGGCCCGCGTGGCGGTTTTCCTCGTGCCACCAGCTGTAAGGGGGCAAGAAAGTGAAGCTTTAATTTCAGAATTCGAGCCGACGACGATGTGAGGTGGACAGCGGCGTGGCTGTACATTTAAAACAGGTTCAGGAGCACTTTTTGTGTTGATGTGACCAGAGTTTGTGCAGCAGGGGGGCTAACTGGCCCGATTATCAGGTTCACACTGGTTGAGATGCAATTATGTCAAAGCGGTGCTCACCGTGTGAGTCGGGGCTTCAAGTACCAATGTATTATCACGGATAATCTGAGGGCTTTGATGAAGGTGGACATCACAGTTTTTCCCCTCACAGATTACTCATGATGGCCAGACTTTGGCCATTTAATCATTCTTTAGTATATGTTTAGAGTCTGGGTTTTTTTTATGTGTTGTCACAACTTGACATGTCACTGCTGGTTCTTTTAAACTTTTCATGGCCATTTTTAACACAGACACCAGGAGCTTGACACTGGATGATAAAACTTAAACTGGGATCATCTTTGTATTTACTCTCCTACAGCAATTACATGATACGGAGACTTCAAGTTTTTACTAAGAATGTTACTATATAAGACCATCTGTTTGGTTTGTTAGAGCGCAAAACGTGTTTTCTTTGTGAATTGTGTTCAATACTGCATTATCTTTATAGGGAATTAATATGAGCAGTGGGGCTTGACTTAAAGGATCAAAATTGAGAGAAGAAAATCATATCTTCTTTAGAGTTTATAGATTATATTGAATGGAAGAAGAGAGATTATGTGGTAAAACCAGTTTATGCACATATTCAATTTTGGACGTTCAGAACCAGAGATCTCTGAGGTGACCAAATAAGTGAATGACCATCAAACTTTACTGAATCATTTAAAGGAAGGATGATGAAATTGGGATGGGGGCTTAGCTGCTGTGGAGGAGGATGCCTCTATCATTGTGATGTGACTCAACCCCTCCTTTCCTATCTCCGCTCTCCCTTTTCTCACCCTCTGCCTCCCCTCGACTCTCACCCAGCCCCTGCTCACTGCCAGGGGTGGATCCCAGCGTTTATCTCCGCCATCCAGCCCCGGTGTCTCCTAGCAACAGAACACGGATCATTTAACTGCCCCTGCATCCTCTGACTTAGCCGTCTGGCTCCAACATACAATACGCCGACTGCTTTTTTCCACATGCTCGGTGCTTTTCTTTTCCCCCTCGCAAGGCCTTAAACTCTCCTAAGAGCCACGCTGATGGCGTTGGTGTTGGACCGCTGGCTCACCAGGCTTGAAGCTCTCAAACCATATCAGTGCCACACTTGAGGCAGACAGACAGGCAGGAGAGGTTTTTCTGTCAGGGTGTGTTTCTCCGGGATCCGGCAGGTGCACACACACACACACACACACACACACCCACACACGGTGAATGGGGGAAGACGAGGCTTGGCCCTCAGTCTGAAAGGCCCTTGCTGAATCAATTAGCATTTAAATTAATGAAGCGAGTAATGAAGAGAGTGCTATCTCCCCTGCAGAAAGCCGACAGACAGGCGGAAAACTGATTGTGAATCTGCGTCAGGAAGAGTCTCTGAAAGGAACATCAAAGATATTCAAATAGCCACTTCGACCCATATTTTTGGTAGGAAGAGTGCCAAATTAAAAAACAGGGTGGCTTTAAATAAACCTACAATAAGTGTGTGTGCATGTAATGCATTCAGATTTCCATATAAAAGGGGCATTAATAAAACACTTAATTAAAGATACAATGATTCCATGGAAAAGACGTTTTTATCTTTCAATATTCATCAGAGCAAATCTGTTAAAAGGAGGCTGCTTCCAGTGTGATAATCCTGAGTGATTTACATGGGCAACACCCTGGAATCAGAGCTCATTCAAATATTAGAATCTATGTTTCTTTTATACTATAATTCTTTAGAAAATACTGAAACTACAATATAAATATTATGATATCAATAAAGTTGTGGGCTAAATATGTTCATTCGATTCTATAATTCACTTATATGAATGGATTCATTTTAAAATGGGATGAATTCACATGCACAAAAATTTGAATTACTAGATGTGAATTGTACAAACCAATTGAAAAAAAGGTCAATAAATGCATTTATGTGTTAGTTATTTGCACAATTTGCACGATTCAGACACAATTTAGAGTCTAGTCAGTGTGTACATGAAAACACAATCTTGAAGGTTAGCTTGTGGGTCCTTCTATTCAAAGGATGATGAAAACAAATCCATTTCCCCACAATTCAGTTGTCTGTGTGACCATCTTTCGACTTTGTTAGTGCAAGTGAAATTCCTAGAATATATTGTTAAAAAGAGAACTGACCAAATTAAGAAACTTAAACATGAAATGAACTGAAATGAGATGTCTTAACTTCTTTCTTAACCTGATGAACCGAATTACTGGAGCTCTGAGGCATGCTTTGACTCTTGGGTTGTGGCGGGTTATGTTTGTGGCAGAAATCAAACACACACAGCACTGGCAGACGGGTGGTTCATCCCCTGGCGCACACACAACCAAACACACAAACAGCAGTTTGTCAGACTGACAGCGTGTCTCACGCTGAATGAGGCTGACTGTATGTAGACACCAACCGATGCCTTCACACTTCAAAGAAGAAAGGGGGAGTTTCTGCATGTCTCCACACACGAGCTGACACACACACACACACACACACAAATGTTATCGCAACAACACAGTGACAATGGAGAGCTTTCAGCCTGAAGCGTGATGTTGATGCAGCGTTCTTCATTTCAAAAGCCCCATGGAGGGGGTGTGTGTGGGGGGGGTGTGTGTGTGTGGGGGGGGGACTGCCTCTCCTCCTCGACATGACGCATGACTCAGGAACACTGCAAACACACACACAGACAAACACACACACAGTGAGACACTGAAAACAGTCCACCAGGCACAAACGCCCACATTAGAACCAGCCAGACTCCAAATATTGCACCAGACTCCATGAGTTGACACCTTAGTTGACAGCAACTTTGTCCTTTATGTTTCCCCTCAATTGCACAACACATCTGCACCACAGCCGCGATGGCCGGCACAAGAGTGCCGAAGGGGAACGGGAGGTGTGCGTGGTCAGTAGCAGGGATGGCAGAGAGGGACGCCAGAGGTTAGCCAGTCTCAGATGTGAGTGTGAGTCAGAGGAGGGGGACACCCCCACGCTCTCAGTGTGTCACGGGATGATGTGGCTGCTGCTTTGCTGTGACACAGAAACAACAGAAGGCTTTTCTTCAGCTGCAGACTGTGACAGGGCTCAGAGCAGACAGGCAGAGCCGCTTAGCCTGCAGAGCAGCAGCATCTCAGCCTGTTTAGTGTTATCAGTACAGTGATAAGAATTTTGAATTTTCTGAGACTATTTTGCTGCAAATACCAAAAGGAAAAGTGGCCATTAAACTGCAAAGGGGTAACTAATTCTCGAGTTAGACGGCGAAGACTTGGACAAGTTGATTTCAGAACAAGGGCTTTGAATCGAGCACCATTAAATAAGTGATTCGTAAAGTGAGGCAAAGAAATACAGTGGTCTTTTCAAAGGTTTCACCATCAATACTAAAGGAAAGGTTAAAAAAAATCTACTGAAAACTCATCATGTAAAAATAACATTTACAGCAAAATTAGGTAAAGCTGAAAATAAGAGAATCATAATTTGTTAATTATTTACTTATTTTTCAGATAGTACTGTCATACAGATCTTCAACAGTAACGCCATTTGGACATTTTGTGTCACTCGGACTGCTTTTACAGTTTTATTTTAACCACAGTGAGCAAATTTCAACAGTGAACAACCTCCGAAAGCTCTCACCCACTCAGTCAGATACGCGTAACTCGATGTGTGTACTTAAAAAACACACAGAAATCAGATAATGACATTCCTGGTGCATCATGCTAACATGTAAAAGTGCATTAATGGCATTTGAAGCTAGTGTTAAGCTGGCATGCATGATGCCAGCAACACGTCATGGCAGGTGCAAGTTTTTGCTGCTCTTCTCTTGACATGTGACAGAACAGGAAGGAGCACCGTTTTTTTTGGCAAATCTATGGCGTGCATTGTGTCTTTGTGCTGAGC